TTATTGAGTGTTGCGGAATGTGTTGCCTTTAGCAACGTTTACCAAACGTTGCGAAAGGTATGCGAAAGGTAGGACATTTCGCAACGTTTTTGATAAATGTTGTGAAATGTATTTTAAACCTTTCAAATTAATTTTTTTTAAATCTAAAATATTACCTTTGTTGTGTTACTAAATTTATGGGAATTAAAAATAAATCAAATATATCTCTACTCTATCTATATCTCTACTCTATCTATATCCCATTTCCCTCCTGAAAGGCACAGAAAATCAGATCTAATTCAAACCCTATTTCAGTTCTCTCTCTTGAAGCCATAGAAATTTGGCGTCCCTTTCTTCCGCCCCACCTTCATCGCCTACCACCCCCAGCTACCGTGCCTCTTAGCCCGGCTTGAAACTTGCGGCGGTGGATATGGTANGCCATCGAAATTTGGCGGCCCTTTCTTCCGCCCCACCTTCATCGCCTACCACCCCCAGCTACCGTGCCTCTTAGCCCGGCGTGAAACTTGCGGCGGTGGATATGGTAATTATGGAGGTGGAGGAGGCTACGGTGGTAATAGAGGCGGCGGAAGAGGAGGAGGTGGAGGTGGGGGATACGGAGGTAATACAAGTACTTGATAGTCTTCTTTTTCGTTTTTATTATGTACTTTGGTTATTTATTTTGATTTATGGATTTAAATTTTCGGATTTGGCAGAAGAGCGCAAGACCTGGCGCAAGAATCATCCTCTTGTTTGATTACATTATTTTTAGATTTTTGGGTTTTTTTTTTAGTCGTGGTTTATATGAATTTCTTTAATTTTTCTGATTAAGATTAATTTTTTTGCAGGGATTTGTTACAAAGCCGGAGATTCTCCCGGACGGTGCAGTGAATCTAATGGTCTGGCACTGCACGATTCCTGGGGTAAGTATTTTTGGTAATACTGTGATTTTGATTTTGATTTTATTCTTAGTGTTTTTGAATTTTAGTAAATGCTCAGATGGGTTCCTTATTTCCTTTTTTTTTCCCTGAATTTGATAAGTTGGGAATTGGGATTATAGGTTTTACTACTACTTGAAATTGGTAATCCAAGCCCAAAGTCTCCATGTTTTGGTTTTATATGTTTTGAAATTGGGATTGTTTCTCATTTTTATCATGGGCCATTGTGGGCAATCCTTTGCTCATTATTTTGGCTGGGTTCCACTCAAGCTCTGGACTGGATCAGTTCGTGTACATAACTTAATTCTGAAATGGAAAACGAACCTTTAAAAAATTTAAACTCACTTTTCACTGTATTTACATAACAAAAGAACACCATATTTGTCTTCTATTGTACTGCATCATCCTTTTGAACATATTGTTACATCATGCCCTTGTTGCCTGACCTCTTTGGGGATCAACTCCTCTGTTTATGTTAATCATACTGCCAAGTAGCATGATCAGCTTTTTAGCAGCACTCACACTCCTAGGTAGCAAGTGATGGAATTATCTTGCTTAAAACCTAGGAAGCACAGTCTCTGGATTGAAGTGTCTGAGCTGATGCATGGCATACATTGAAACGTCTGCCATCAGACTCAGTGTTGGATGAGGGGACATGTTATATGTTTTGGATATGTTTGGGGCACTCAACGATGTGCTAGCTTCACAATACCTCAAAGTTAAGGTTTGAATGACAACGAAACCAGGGAAAAGCATTTAAATAGACCACTTGAGAAGAAAGATAGTGATCATTCAACTGTTAGTCTGTTATGCAGCCCCATATTGTACAACATATAATGTTCTTGTTGAATTGAAATCCATCAACTATTCATATTTATCTTTATCCTATAAACACAATCCAATTCAAAAGCTGTTAACATTGTATTTCAAAGCATCTCTACCGTGTCATGTTCTTTTCAAATAAATTGATGTGCATGTGCATTTTAAATTACTGCCTCATATTGATGAAAGCTAATAATGATATTTATAGCGATGGATTGGTAAAACAAATTAATATTTTCACCATGATGTTCTGATAGTTTGTAAACACATGTACAAGATGCAATATTGTTGAGGAATTGTGGCATAGTGATTTTTGTCTTTATCATTTTTGTCTGAAATAGGCTGCAGTAAATAATTTTGCTATGTTTTGCATGATATCTTGCGCCTAAACTCCATATTTGCCAAGTGATTCCATGAATTCAATTTTGTCTTTTTTAATTTCCTTGATTCTGAGTTTAGACTGTTAGATCTCCTGTCTATCTGTCATTATTGATTTCACGGTGGCACTTGAATAGATCTTTATCATCCACGTTTTTATGTTTTGATTTAAAAGTTATAATTAAATTCGCCTTTTCGAAATTGTTTGTGGTTCTACAGTTACTACAACAAGTCAGGCAAAGATGGCATTATAAATGTTGAGGGAAAATAGGGAGAGAATTGACCTTTGTTTTATAATTGGCTCAAGTGC